AGGTTGTCTTGATGGCTAACAATATGCTAAATATCCCTTTAGTTAATGGCAAAATAGTACTAAACTTTTTTCTGTATTGCTTTTTCTGATATTATTTTCTTATGTCTCTTTTTTCTCTATTAGTTATTATTTCTTAATAATACAAATCCTCAGCAGATTAGATTGCATAGGCTTGATAGCCAGAAAATTACATGAATGTTTTTAAAAACATTACTCCATGTTTTCATTATGTAAACATGTCCCTAGCCTACAACTCAATGTTAATTTTCCATTTGAAATAATTTTAAAATTTCCTGTTCCCTTAAGAGAAAATTTTTTATATTTTCCCCAGAATAACCAGACTAGGTTACAGCTCTTGAGTATGGTTTCACAAGCTCCAATTCCTTCCATAAATCTTATCATAAATTTACTTTTTCCAATGTCTCTCCTGATAGATTTCTAACATCTAGCATTTTGTTCTGGATACAAACTCAAACTTGATGCTGTCAAATTGATTCCCACTCATTAATGACTCAATAGCCCAAAGTGTTTCTTTTTTTTTTCTATAATTATATTTTATTAATTTTCATAAACATTTACAGATATTTTGGGTTTCCATTCATTCATTGTTGCACTATTCTCTCTACCCTCCTCCCAGTTTGTTCTTGTCCAAATGCCACAGTGCTTGTCAAAGCCAGTCCTGATTAATCTTCTTTGTCAGTGTGTCCTTTGCCATTCCCTATCACTCCTCCCTGAGAGAGACTTCACCCTGAGTCATAAGGAAAAGGGGATGGCGTATTCTCTTAGCTACTTCCTGCTGAAAAGGGACGCTGTGGGTTTCAGGGTGAAGACCTTCTCTCACTACTCTAAAGGGCCCCTTTGGCAGTAGGAAACACATAGACTATTATGGAGATTGATTTTGGAATTTAGATGCACTCTTATTGATTGTGCTTGGCCGTACATGTTCATAGCCTTGAAGATGTATCATGGGGGTGTTGCAACCTAGAAGACACAAATTTGACTAACAAGTTATAAGTACATGAGTCCAAAAATTATGGAAAAGTAAAAGAAAAGATTCTTTCATTGTTTTACAAACCCTCCCCCAGGTCCCCTCCACCATGTAGCCCTCGCTCTAGTCTCCTGTGATGACAGAAATACCTAGTTATATATCTCTTTTAAACAGTTTTCTCCCTCCTCTGTTTCAGTGCAGTATACATTATTGAACCCATCTTAGTATTTAAAGTTGTTGTTATGTGCTATTGATTTACTCGCAACTCATAGTGACCATATGTACAACAGCCCTAAACTCTACTCTATCCCTTGCCTATCTTATTGTCTCTGACACACCAATCCCCATTTCCCCAGTGACGGAATCAATCCATCTGATCGAGGGTCTTCCTCTCCTGTGCTGTCCCTCCACCTTCCCAAGCATGATATCCTTCTTCAAGGACAGATCCCTCCTTGTAACATGTCCAAATTATGTCAGATAGAGCTTCAGAATCCTTGCCTCCAAGGAGCAACCTGGCTTCACCCTTTCCTGGACAAACTTGTTTCTTCTTCTAGCAGTTCATGGTATATTCAATATTTTTCACCAACACCAAAGCGCAAAGGCATCAACTCACCTTCTATCATCCTTAGTCATTGTCCAGCTCTCTGATGCACAGCAAGTAATTGCAAAGACCATGGCATCAGGTGCACTTTAGTCTCCAGACTGACATCATTGCTTCTCTGTAGCTTGGAGAGGTCTCTGACTGCAGACTTTCCCATTGCAATTGGTCTTGAAACAACATATGAGCAAGAGCCTATGGTGATGAAGGAAGAATTCAAGCTGCTCTGAAAGAATTGGCAAAAAAACGAGGTCCCAGGAATTGATGGCATACTGATTGACATATTTCAGCAAACAGATGCTGTGATGGATGTGCTCACCAAGTTGTGCCAAGAAATCTGGAGGATAACCACCTGACCTACTGACTGAAAGAGATCTTTATTTGTTCCCATTCCAAAGAAAGGCGATCCAACAGTGTGTGAAAACTGTCGAACAGTATCATTGATATCACATGCAAGAAAAATTCTGCTGAAGATTATAAAAAAAAAAAGTTACTAGAACAGTACATCAACAGAGAACTGCCTGAAGTGCAGGCTGGATTTAGAAGAGGCTGTGGCACTAGGGATATTATAGCTAATGTCAGATGGATCTTGGCTGAAAGCACAGAGTACCAGACAAATGTTTATCTCTGTTTCATTGACTATGCAAAGGCATTTGACTGTGTGAATCACAACAATATGTGGCTGATTCTGAGAAGAATGGGAATCTCACAACACTTGATTGTGCTTATGCGAAACTTATACTTGGACCAGGAGGCAATCATCAGAACAGACAGAGCAAGGAAACACTGCTTGACTCAAAGTTGGGAAGGGTGTACGCCAGGGATGTCTCCTATATCCATATCTTTTCAGTCTATATGCAGAACAGATTACCCAGGAGGCTAGGCTCTATGAGGAGAAGTGTGGCATCAGGATTTGAGGTAGCCTCACCAACAATCTGTGTTATGCTTGCTGAAACCAAGGAGGACTTGAAGCGCTTGCTGTAGAGGGTCAAGGACTGCAGCCTTCAAAATGGATTGAAGCTCAACACCAATCCGCTGCATCATGGATGATGAAGAGATTGAGATTGTTGACAGCTACAGTTTGCTTAGCTCTATAATCAACATTATTTAAAGTAGACAGCCATATTTTTTCTCCTACTACTTCTGGATCTTCTTGTTGCTGTTATGTGCCATCAAATCAGAAAAGACTGATCACTGATCCTCCAAGGGATTTTCAGAGGCTACTACCCAGTAAGAGATTATCTATCTTTTCTTAAGCAGTAGCTGGTCCATCTGAACCATCTGCCTTTGTGTTGCTAATTCTCGTGTTATAGAAATTCTTATTTTAGTGATAGTTTTAATACTATGATTAAGATGCATTGCTCATTTGCCAATCAATACATTGCTGTTCAAGTTTGCACAGCTCCTATTTGAGGTCTGTAAATTTGAGAGTACCATGAAAGATAAACCCACTGTGGTTAGACTGACAGTATAAATTTCTAATCCTGCAGAGTCAGGCTTTAGAACACAGGAAATCCACCAATAAGTGGCTTCTTGTCATATCTCTTGACAGGTAATAATTTACTTTTTCCTTGGGGATGCTTTTACCTTGACATGAAGATTCTTTCAGACTACAAGAGGAGATCCATCTTCATTAATATCTAAATTCCTAATAAGGGTGGTTCACTTTGCGGGACCCAATTATCGTTTCCAGATTTTTTTTTAATAAATTTACACTTTTAATGTTTTCTAGGCAGGCCTATTTTACTTCACACTGGTCCTTACAGTTTACGAGGCTGCAGTTCACTAGATGTCATCATGTTATGGCTAAATGATGTTGTGGCCCTAACTCTAACCCTAACCAGATGTGACTAGAAAGGATAGCATGTAGCCATCTATATGAAAATTGTTATTTTATCGATTAACATTCATGTCTGAAATTGGAACACTGCTAAAAAATGAACTTAATCTCAACAAGTACACTTGGGAAAAAGGGTGTGTATGCTCAGGTCTGAGGGAGCCTAAGCATTGAACTATTAGTCTAAAGGTTAGCAGTTTGAACCTACTCAGCAGTCTTGATGAAAGGTCTGGAAATCTGCTTCCCTAAAGATTATTATAGACCTAAAGCAATGCATGGATAGGGCCCCCAAGAGTTAGAATAGATTCCAGAGTGACCAGCTTGTCGCTGTTTTTGGTATTAAACTAGCAGCTCAAGTAAAATCTATCCCAATGAAGTAAATAGGACCACATGCCAGTAGCACAGTTATTAAGTGTCATGGGGATGGAACTGATTTATAGCAGATACTCTTTTGGGTTTTGAGAGACTAACTACACAGGAAGACTGCTCATCTGTCTCCAGTGGAGCGGTTGGTGGATTTGAACCGCCTGCCTTTGGGGTGGCAGCACAACTCCTGTCCCACTATAGGTGTTTAATAGCTACATCCGTTATAGTTTTAATTCTATGCTTGAGATAGTTCTCATTTGTCAATCTCTAAATTGGTGGTCAAATTTGCACAGTCACCAGAGCTCCCAGTCAACAGGCTATGATCATAAAAAGGTTTGCATGCTCACTAAACGAACTAAAGATAAGCAGGTGCAGGGTAGCAGGTCAATTCTTATTTTTCTATTGTAGCAAATGTACCTTCCTTCCATACCTAGGAGGGAGCGTCAAGAGCTCCCCGCCCTCCTTTATTAGCACTCAGAACAGTGCACGGTACCAAGCGAGCATTCAATATGTATTTGTTGAATGAATGAATGAATGAATGAAGCCAGACTTGGAAAGCCCTCCGCTCTGATCCCCTCCCCCCCCCAGCATGCTTGCTGCCTTCTTCCCATATTCTCCCTTTTTGACAATTCTGAATTTCTACACTTGCCCCCTTCCCATTTGGCCAAAATCCTATCCTCAAACATTCCTTAAATAATCTTCCTTCTTTTTTTCCGAGGAATGTGGACCGACCAAGCTTGGTTTTCAGCAGCAGGTTGCACGGGACTTTGAGAGGGCGAAGGCAGCCCACTGGCACCAGCACCCTATTAGGACGGGTCCAGCCCAAAGGGTCTGTTCTTGCAATCCTCGAGAAACAACAGGGCTGCGCCCCTCGCCTCACCTCGCCACGCAGACGCTGCAATGCCAACCCCGGACTCAGTCTGACACTGTGCAGAGAGAGGAACAAGCAG